TAGTCTAATTTCTTTATTTTACAATGTGTAAACTAAGATCCAGAAAGATGGTGCTTTGTCCAAGGAACACACAATTAGTCTACTGCAGGGCTAGAAAAGAATGCTAGTTTTCAAATGCACAGTCCAGGCAATTTCTAATATATCACATTGAATCTTCACAGCTTTACAGTTTTCTGTGTACCTATCTTATCTCCCCTATCAAACTGTAAACTCCATGAAGGAAGGACTGTGACTTACTCTTCTCCATAGCTTCCAAAGTTCTTCCTGCTCAATAAATATTGGATGGATGGATGGATGGATGGATGGAAGGATGGATGAATTCCCTGTTCCCAGGGATTTTCTGAGTATTCCCATACACAGATAAAACAAACACTATGTTAGGGAAAAATGTCTCAAGTAGAATTGTTACCCAAGGTACAAGTATCACAGATGCCAAAATTGTAATTACAGAGTACATGAAGAGAAATCTTAATTTTAAGACATTTACAAAACTTCCAGTTAAAATATTGAAAGTTCAGTGTTTTGGTTTGTTTTGGGTTGGGTTTTTTTTGTTTGTTTTTGGTTTTATCAGGGGAGAGATTGTTATGGTTGTTGTTGGGATTTGGGTGGGTTTTTTATTTAGGCTACTATGGAGAAGGTAATGATAGGAAGTAACAAAGATCTCAGTTAACCAAGATACAGCAAGAACTCATTCATAGATACGAGAAATTCATTGTTAGTGGAATTGATAATAACTAATATTTTCCTCTCACTTTAGCTGAGGGTCAAATAAGTTTTGAGCAAATCATTTAAACTCTCCTGACCTCTGCAATTAAAACCACTGTGGTATCATGGAGAGATGACTAGATTGTGAGTCAGACTTAAGTTCCAGTCCTAGTGGTGCCATAAACAATGTATATGACTTGAGAAGTTATTTAATTTCTGTGACTTTGGCTCAAATTCTTAAAATCTAGCCACTGCTCACTAATGTTCTGGTCCCCAGAAAGACTCTTAGGGAGTCTGGCCAATATGGTGGATGTTCGAGTAAACCCTGTCTTTGGCTGAAAAAAAAAATTGTCTATGAGTTTTTTTCTTCAGTGATATAATGGGACTGGACTAGATAATTTGTAAGGTCCCTTTCAGTTCTAAAATCCTATGTTTCATTTTATCTATCCAGAGGTATTCATGTTCTTTCCTATGGAATTTTCCAGAAATATGTCAAGCAAAGCACCCATTGTAGCTCCTCAAGTGGATGAAAGGACTAGAAGGATGTATCTATAATGGGATGACAATAGTTTTGTCCACCACAAAGTTTGACATTGATTGTCAAGGTTTTCTAGACTTAATTTTCCATCTCCTCCAAGAAGAATGTGTTTCTTTAAATTTACTAGAAAATCTGAGTGCATAAGCACATAGCCCCCTCAACACCCAATATAGTAAATACCTTACACATCATGATTATCTCCATATTATCCTGTATATATCTTGTCTATACATAGTTGTTTGAGATAACTCCCTTATTAGACTGTGACCGCCTTGAAATCAGGCACAGTTTTCTGCCTTTTTTTATATTACAGTCCTTAGCACAGAGGCTGGCAAAAAAAAAAGTAGGTACTTAATAAATGCTTGTCAACAAGCTGGTTGACTAGCAGGCTATCAATAAATGTTTGTGTTGTGATTGAATGACTGAATGAGTGAATGAACTCTCCCCTCTTGCTTTGGAAGGTTTTGTTTCACAAATGTTTTTCTACACAATAATGACAAAAGGATGATATGAACTTCTATCTCAAAAAAGATTATGACAAAGTCATCCTTTCAGATACAAGCTAAAAGATGGTGTCAGCATTAAAAAGCAACCCAAATTATCAGTACTTTGTTAATATTATCAGAGTGGAGGAGGGCTATGACTTGGAGTCAGAAATCTTCTAAGTGATTTCATACATATAAGGTCAGACTTGTGAATGTTTATGTTGTGTAGCACTGAGCACATGCCACTTCCATTCATTAGATATCTTTTGTGAAATGAAGACAATGGAACAGCATTTTTCTCAAAAGCTGAATAAGTGATAACAATATTTGAAAAGTCTAAGATGACCCTAAATTTTGAGACTCTTGAACTATGCAGATAGAAATTGATAAAGTAGAGGAATTACTTATCAAATGGAATATATTCAAATTCTCCAGAATATTTACTCTGAGGGCAGGGGGTGGGGAGAGGGTGTTTTATTTTCTGAAGATTCCCATATTCTAAATCCTTTCATTTGTATAGATGCTACCAGTTAGGTGCCATGCTAATGTTAGAATCTGAAGTCCATTCTGGAACAAGGTCCTTGTAAGAAAGAAGAGTTAAATATCCCACCACCTTCCTATATTGGAGAGCTTGCTCCTTTTCTGCCCCACTCTCTTATACCCTGCTACTAACAAAAACACTGGCCAAAGACACAGCTACTATAAGGACAATCTAATTCCACCTGTAATTGGACCAAAGTTCAAAGCCTCTGTACTGTATTATCACAGCTGAGAAAGCCAGCAAAATGTGTATCCATAGAAACCAAATATACAGTGGAGTCCTCTGATGGTTGAGAATATGCTGTGAACAATAAAATTTCACTTCAGACCAAGGTTCCACCATAAGTAGATCTGCACATTACAGTGCCTGACATTGCACCTGTAGGGTTTTGATCTCCTAAACCTTACAAAAAAGCTGCACATATAGAGTGAAAGGAAAATTTATTCTTCATATCTGTTTTTTTTAATACTGTCAAAGATTCCATGCTAGCTCTGCTAAAAACAGAACAATTATTGTTTTCTTTCAGTATACAACCTTGGAATTATTCCCTTCCTCAGAATCATCAGTCTGTGCCTTCACAATATTAAACTGAGAGCATATTGCCTAATCTCACATTGTCCTATGCAGCAAAGAATAGCCACAATGCACTCAATAGACAAGCAGCTACTTCCCCCTCCCACACAAACCATACTAAGTTGTGATATAAATGTGTGTATGTGTCTTTTTGATGAAGAAAATATACTCCTCTTGAAAATTTAGCTATGCTGAGAGACATCACTACTTCTCCATAAGAAAAAAAAAGCAAAAAATAATTTAAGGAGAAAATTGTTATAAACAGTGATAAAAATTCCTATTAGGGAACAGAAAAAATGTCAAGGTCAGAACTAACCCAAAATTTAGCTTTCCCACCATTATGTCAGTCTTATGGAAGTGAAGTTAGTCACTAAAGGCTCTTGGGACATTAAAATAAAATAAACATAAACAGTACCCCTAACCAATACTTAAATGGCTTATTGCAAAAGATGTATTATGAGTGATGAATTCAGTCAGCTATAAATGAATTGACTCATCAAGCTTTTACTTTTAACCTTTTATAAATTTCAAATTATAACCTGCTTACCATGAGTCATTCAACTCATTCAAGACAGTTGCAAAAGAAGAAATGAAAAATAAAAAAGACTTGTGTATGAGTTTTCAACCACAGCACTGATCTTTCTCCTCTCTTTAAAACTATGTATTTTTTAAGGTCTATTTACAATTGAAATGCTAAAACTGGGCAACTGTTCCACAAAATGTATCTTTCTGCTAAACTACTTATGTCTGGATACCAAAAACATAACAATATTCTGTTTTTATGCTCATTCCATGGATTTGTGAGGAAGATAAAAATGTCATTTTAATCATCTATTGTTTCCTAAAAGTGAGAGCATTTTTAAGAGAAACACCAGTTTGTTTCAAAGGCTGCTGTCCTGGTAGTGCATCCAAAAGATTGTTTAACTAGCAAAAAGTTATTGAGGTTCTTTGTCAAGTTGGGTGTGCTCTAAGCAGTCATTCATGGAGAGAGGAATACTATACTGGGGTGGGGGGGAAATGTTGGGATAAATAAAAATGGGTAAGTATAATTAATAAAGACCATTTTCTTGCAAATATTTGTTCTTGAATTAGCAGAAGACAAAACGTTCTTTAAACACTTAAAGGATGCATTTCTATGAATACAGATTATGTGCTTGGATATTATTTAATTGCATTTTTAAGCAAAATATTCCCTGAAAAGTCAGCTTGCAGAAACAACTTGTCTAACTTCCCAAGCCAAAGGTTAATAGTTTGGATCTTATTTCCATAACATCTGTTTATAACTTGCCCTCCTTAAAAAGTGTAAGTGCTTGCTTTCCTAAAGAAGGAACAGTCATTGACATAGAAAGGAACAAAGAGGTAAGAAGACGGATAAATACCTTCTCCTTTATCCCAGAGCTAACTTACCTACTAAAATACTGGCGACAGAAATCTGGCTACAATATTGTAATCTCATTTAAAGATCTGTAAAAGAAAGTTGGGAAGGAAAGGCAGAAGACAAATATATGTTCATGTTTACAAAGCAAGGTACTTAAACTCAGGAAATGAATCATTTTACTCTCCAAAATATAGTATACTGGTCGATGTAACAGGTGCACCTCAGCCTTAAAATCCCCCTAGCTCAGTGCACCTCTTGTTATAACTTCCCAGATGATATCCAGACTGAACAAGGCAGACAAAATATATTACAAAATTCTCACCAGTGGAAAAGCAGCAGCTTGCTTTATATTTTAAATCTTTGTGTGTGTGTGTGTGTGTGTGTGTGTGTGTGTGTGTGTGTGTGTGTTATTGAAAAGAGCACCGTGGCCCCCTGGGGGGGAAAAAACATTCCTGCAAAACTGCCATAAAATATCAGCTAATTAAACCTAAATAAAAGACTTCCCCAGCAAAGCGCCAGGAGCTCCTCAGTGCACCACATTTGCAGCGCTACCCTACGGTGGTAGCTGCGCTACGGCCACTGCGCCGGGGTTCAGGAAATGCACCTTTCCATGCATGTAAACGCACCCACGGCGGGTTGCGGAGCGAGCTGAGCCAGAATTACGGCTGTTCACATAAGGAATTCCCCCCTTCCTCCTCCTCTTTCTCCCTCCCTCCCCCCTTTTTTTTTCTTCTTCCCCCTCCCCCCAACACCCTCGGGTGAATAATATCTCCGGGCTACCTGCATTTATCAGCACCACGATCCCGTGTCTTCAAGCATTCAGGGAATTTAACAGCCTGGAAATTCCTGTTGTCCATTCGCTGAGGTCACAGATAAAAGCTAAACAACAGCCGTGGCCCCCATCAATCATAAGTCACTCACTGATAGAATGTATGGTAGGAGACCTGATGTAAGCTAGTCACCAGAGAAAATACCCACTGATGACGCATATCCAGGCATAAAAATAGTTACAGGGCCCTCAAAGGGATTATTCAACAGCCTACATTTAGATTTTCTTACAAGAGACCCGAAGTCAATTTGCTGGGAGAGTTGAAGTTTAAGCTTCCTCAAAAGACATAACCACAAATAGCTGGTTTAAATAAGCTGCTGCAATTACAACCTGTTTTGTAAATTTTAACACAACATTACAAGCATTAAACCTAAACATATCCACCAAGTGTCTATAAAATGACATAATCTTTTATTTTATTCATGTTCCTGTTCAGTTAACAATCCCTCTTGTTTAAATACTCCACCCAAATTAATTTTTAATCAGCCCAAAGAAATGTAGTATTATCCCCTCTCTTTTCTCAAACTAAAACATTAAGCTGCAAATCAAATGCATGGAAAGGAGTTCATCTTCAAGTGCAAGAATCTTTATCTTACAACCGCCTTTTATGATGATAAAAGTTAATTTGATGGTGACTTTTTTCCAATGTCATCAACTTCTTTCCACTCCCATTTGTATTATACTTGTCTGAAATGATTTGTGGTCATTTTACAAAATCAAGACTTATTTATGCACTGCCACACATAGATCATTCCTAATGTTTTAAATGACCAATAAGGCATAAAACAACACCCAAACTTAAGATCCTGGTGTCTTATTTTATGAGGAAAAAAGAAGCGACTTTTCACATGTGCATCAGATTTAATAGTTCTCGAGTCATCTGTTCAAAACTCTTTTCCCTCCCACTCAAGCATATGCACAGATACCCTGCGATTCAGGTCTTTCACAAAGATTTCATATTCATAAATGCTGGATTTTTGCACATTTTTATATTTGAATATCTAAATATGTTCCCATCCCAGAATCCTCCACGCACACGCACCCACACAAAGAACAACGGAAAACTGGACAAAGCCATACCCACAGATTTTACTTCAGAACTTGCACCTCTCCCATCTGGTGGTCTGAATTACAAATTCATCCCACCAACCTGCCTCCCTCCCCCCCACCAAAAAAAAGACAATAGGATTTTCCTTACTGCCTGAACAATTATTAGTCATAATCTCTTTATTCCTTTATCTTTCAAAAGGTCCTCCAAAGAATGTTCCCTCTTATGGAACTTATCCCAACACATTAACGCTATCAGCATATACAACTATGAGAAACACATTAACAGCATCTCTAAAGCTTTTAATAAACACCTTGAAGCCTTTCTCTTAAATAGCAGAACATCAAGTGGTTAATGTTCCTTCTTCAGGAACAATAACAGGGCTTTTTTTTGTTTTGGTTTTGGTTGGTTTTTTTTCATTCCTGAACTGGTAGCTAGGTTGTACCTCACTCTCCTCAAGTATGTTAACACAGCTATAAATACAGGTGAAAATTATTTTTAGAACTGAGATTACGCAAAGCTTTCACGTTTCTCTCCCGTGCATATGTGTCGACAGTCCATTTGGCCTACTTTTAGGGATCCAGATGGGGAGTGTTCATTGGTGCCCTCTAGTTGATTGTGTCTATAACATGCTAAAGAAAACACCTAAATGTGGCCCTTATTTCTTACCTAATCTCTCTCTTCTGCCATGAAGAGTCATCCAAATCAATCTGACAAATAAATAATAAGCATTTACTATTTGCAAGGTATTGGGCTTAAGACGCATCCCTTGCCCTCGATGGGATTACACAGCTAACACACAAAATAGGATGTGAAAAGTGCAGAGGAGAGCTGCAGATAGTGAAGTGTGGACTGAAGGAGAAACCAAGGAGAACCAAGACCAACAGAAAGGGCAAGATTTCGACAGGCAGGGATAGGGGAAGTGCCCATTCGGCACAAGGAAACATGTGAAAAAAAAAAGTATGGAGACCAGAGAGGAAAGGACACCCATGGGCATATGGTCCATTCTGACCCAAACATAGAGCATGTGATGGGAGGTAATGTAAGGATGTCTCTATAAGGTAAATTTAGGTCAGATTGCGAGAGACTAAGTGTCAGGAAAAGAGATTTATACTTAATTTGGTAAATAGTAAGTTTTAATTAGAGGAGCAACATGATCAGAAAAACACATTATGATGATTATAGAGGCAACAGTATGAAGAATAGATTGGAAAGGATAGAGGCTAAAGTGGCTTACTGGATAGAGCACTAGCCCTGGGACCAGGGTTCAAATGTGACCTCAGATATTTACCAGCTATGCGACCCTGGGCAAGTCACTTAACCCTGATTGCCTCAAAAAAAGGAAAGAAAAGGATACAGGCTAGAGGCAAAGAAACCAATTAAGAACCTATACAATAGTCCAGGAAATTGATAATGATAAGGAGAGCTTAACCTGAAAAAAATGTGGAAGCAAATAAGTGAGGAGGTGGCAATATTGAAACATCAGAATTGACAGTAGAGATTATTTGCATTTTTTGCCTTTTAAGTCCCAGCATTTAGTACAGTCCTTAGCATATAGCAGTCACTTAATAAATACTTGTCAACTGATTAACTGATTGAATGATTGGATGCTGAATACCTCATACAGTTTCATCCCTCCATATCCAGTCAGATCCTAGTATTCCACCAATATTGACAATCATGAGGCAGGACCAGAAGACTTGCAATGTGGTCTACCAATGACCACTTCCCAACTCCACCCTGGTGTTTCTTCTTATTTTTCACTCAAGGATTGATAATGAAAATTAGCATCCCTATTCCTACTGTGAAACATATCCCTACTTACTTCCCTATGGCCTGCTCAGAATCTCTTTGATTCTAAGTCATAAAATGCCTAAATACAACTTCTCTTCCCTGGACATCACTTCTACTCCCTACCCACCTACATCAACCTTATCCCCCTCACAGCCTTATCCCATTCTACCCTAACCTATCATTATGTCCTATAGAAATACTATTGCTAATAAACTTACCTTCATATTAGACTAGTGTCCACCCCACCCCACCACACCACACCATACCTCCTTAGATAAGAAAGTGGTAAACCCTAGCCAAGTAGTGGATTTCCTGAAAACTAAAATAGACTGATTTTATGAGAAAAAAATTTATATATAACAAGGTCAAAGTATCAAAAAAAACAAAGAAAACAATATATCGAGCATCAAATCATAACTGAAATATATAAATCATAAATGAAAACTGCCAGATCTATTAGAACAAGAAGGCAAAGTGAAGTTAGAAAGAATCCACTCATTTCCTCATGAAAGAACCCCCAAATGGAAAAGTCCAAGAAATTGTCAAAGACAAAATCCAGGACTCTTATATCAAAGAATAAATACCCAAGTTATCATGAAAGAAGCAGTTCAAGTATCAAGGAACCCGAGTCAGGATCACACAAGATCTGGAAACTTTTATCATAATTGAGAACACAGCTTGGAATACAATATTCTAAAAGGCAAAAGATATAGGCTTACAATCAAGAATAACACTCCTAAAAACTAAAAATAACCCTATGGAGGAAATAGATTTTTAATGGATTAGAGGATTCTCAAGCATTTCTAATGATAATATCTGATCTGAGTAAGAACTTTTAAATTCAAAGAGTCCAGAGAAACCTAGAAAGGTAAATTTATTTGAACAATTATAAGAAACTGTATGATACTATAGTGCTAACATTCTAATTACAAGAGGAGAAACAAATGTCCCTTCAGAACCCTAATGTCTTCAAAGGTTATTGAGGGAGTTATATAAGAGAAATGGAGAAACTAAAGATAGATTGTTTCTGTTCTAAGAGTTTTAAGAGGGAAAAGAGAAGGAAGAATAAAAAGAATACACTGGTATAGATAGGAGGAAAAAAGATGGTATTTGCACTTCTTGTAACTGAGGTTAAAAGAAGAGAAAGCAAATATGAAGTAAAGAGTGAGGAGGACCAAGTATCAGATTAACTTCACTCATCTGAAATAGAGAGAAAAGGCTTGGAATAGTACACACAACACAGAAACATTTTGGTATAAAAATACATCAAACTCAACACGGGAACAAGAAGTGAACAGAACCAGGGAACAATGTAGATAAGAATAAGATCGTAAAGGAAAGCAACTTTGAAAAACTTAAGAACTCCAATCAATATAACAACCAACCATGTCTCTAGAAGACCCATAAAGCATGTTGTACATCTCTGGAGAGAGAAGTAATGGATGTAAGATACAAAAAGAGATTTAAATTTTTGGATGTGGCCACTGTGTGAATTTGCTTGAGTTGGGGGCTTGAGGAATGAAGTCTTTGAATAGCCGTTATGAGGAATAAAACAAGGAGTAAATAAAATATTAATTTTTAAATCACCATGCCTAGATCAGTGAAGGTCCTAATTGAGATTAGTTACCTTAAATGACTCAGTCGGCACAGTTTAGTCATTTCCTTCACCAACTTTGGGTTGGGGAGAGTAGAGAAGGTAGTTTCTAAGCATTACAGAAAGGGCAGCACTGCCATGGCTCTTCCACAGTCTTCAGAATATGGCCATTCATTTTTGACATAAAACATGGAAAACAAAACGAAGGAACACCGCAGCATATTTACTAAGTATTTAATACTTTAACTAAAATTAGAAAAATGAACAATGCACAAAGAGTAGAATTAAAGGAACAGAATATTAAGATTCTCAAGACTACACTTCTACAAGGGGAAAAAAACACCCAAATACACTTAAAGTATATTGCCTAGTAAACCAAAAGTATTTCACTAATATGAGAGGAAGTTGTTAGAAACGTTAGTGATTGCCATATATAGTTTTGAATCATTGAAGTGACATTAATATAACTGGAAATTATGTAAAATAACCAGAATGAATGCTTTTTACTCTACAATTCATATATGACACCCTTTAAGCTTAGATCAACTCTATAAACAATGTAAAGTGTAATTAGAGAAGGGATAGCATAATCCTAAAGCAACTAAAAGCAGATTCTCTTAACTTCTATACAGATATACACTTTTATTAAAGAGGATTCCATATTATTTTATGTGTGGTTCCATTGG